AGTGATGAATCTTAGTGTATAGTTGATAATCAGTTTGATTGTTTGATATTTTTGAAAAAAATAAATGTGCGATTAATTAATATGTGTCATCTATTTATTTTTGGATTTCGGAGGGGGACATCAGCTTCACTGTTGGCTTGTTCATTATAATGCAATCTATACTGTAGCCGCCCTCGGTATGACCTTGAATCGACTTTGACTTTGAATAAAAGATTGTTCGAGGATATAAATAATAATAATAAGATATTCTATATTAACAGTAATAATACAATAAGCTTGATAAAGACGAGAGTATCCTCGTCGAAACGTCGCTTAGTATTAAACACAGTAATTGTACCTTGTGTTAATATATCGTTGGGGGATTTAGATCCTTCCTCGACTTCTACCGGGGAATAATTCGGCTTTTATATATTTAAGGAACGACGTTAAACCTTATTCTTTGCTCGTATTGCGACCGTTAGGTGACGAAATGTCATTTAGGTATCCTTCTAGATTCTAGTTTAAGTATTCCGCAGTAGGACCCAGAAAACATGCAATGACTGAGAAGTTGTTTTAAACACTTAGTGCATCGGATGTGTACCATATAGTCCAACATTTCCTATTCACTACTCTCCAACCATTCCAAAGAGGAGATAGTAGATTCTGGAATCTGTAATGCAGCATAACGTAGGGTTGATAGTTAGCTCTGTTGACTTTTTGCATAAACCTATCGCAATCTAGTGACATACGCATGGTACACACTACAAATTATATGCTTCCAAGCCACCGAATAGGTTTTTTTTTATCTAATAATAGTTGGCTTATCAGAATTGTGTCATTCGTAGTCTTTAAAAAGGGTAAAGGCACTGAACTCCCAACATATTTAATGGCTGAATGGATTTTTCTGAAAAGTGGTAACGATCACCAACATCACCCTAAGATGATAAAGATAAGAGTTTGCCTAAAAGTAATTGGGGAATTTTGATAACTAATTTTTGCATGAATGTTACTTACCAAATGCAATTGCTTGATCCCATAATTTTGGTGAAACACATCGATAGAGCAAATTTCGACTCATCAAAACCCTTTAATGTGTTTAAACCTGTTGATTGAGTGATGCTTGTTCAGGATTTTTCATCTGTGTAGGAAATTGACTAGAGACGTTGAATTGGAGGAAGGAGGGGAGGAAGGATTCTTCTAAAAGTCATAGTGGATTGCAGATAAATCCATAACCTATTGCCAGGATTATGCATAGCAGCGTTAAAGAGAAATTTATATTGAAATATTTAAAGTCCAAATGTTCTAGCAAGTGTAGTAGCACCATGGGTCTTCTGTCAAACGTGGAGAGCAGGGGAACCAAATCCGGTCGCCAAGTCCATTTCTTGGTGGCCATATTGGATGAACCGTGAGATTAATTGGAAACTGTCCAAAACTGGTCCGGTGATCAACAAAGCCTATAAAATGATATATTACATGGGTCATTTCGCCAACAACGTTTGTTAATATTAATTTCAGACCATTTTTGACCGCTAATTTGTTTTTTTTGGCTCTCCTGGATTTAGCCTGTTGATTTCAGAGGTAGCAAACTACAAATATCTTCACTAGGGTCCCTTCTATCTGAAACCATCATCACACCTTGTTTCCCAAGAAATGGTCACCAATCTGTGGGTTCTGACCGGACTAATGAAGTAATTCTCAGAAATAATTAAAATTTGATAAGGTTCTAGTTCTTCCTCATACTAACATTGATTATCAGGTGATAACTTTAGCTGTTTGAATTAATGGAAATCATTAGGCTTCTTTTCGTCTCATAAACCTAATCATGGTGTATAAATATCAAATCAATCAGATTAGATTTTTAAAAGTGATCAAAGAAAATAACATTGAAAGTAAAGTTCAGCTTCTCTATTTTATGAATAAAAACACTGTAAAAATTTAAAGTCAATCCGAGGGTAACTTCAGCCGATATAGAATCCACCAGACGTTTCATTGGCTATAAGATATGAAATCTTTCATATTCACGGCAACTTCCTGTCACATGTCATGGGTTATATAAAGAATCTTATCAAGAAGAAATAATTTTTAAAATCGCCCCAAAACTCGCAAAATTATAAGTTTAAAGTAGCTAAGTCTCTAACGCAATATCATCCAAAATCTTCAACATTGAAAACACGATTTATTTGTCAAATTAAATCAACATTCATGTTGTGATCTTACCAGAAAAAGATGGGCTTTTGATATCCAATATTTAAGACAAAATAAACATTTTACCATTGGTACACGAATCGTGTACCATAATGCGCTTCAGCCCCAGTTGTATCAAAAGACTCGAGGGACGAGGCTAGACACATTGCACCAAATCAAACGGCGTATGTAGACTGGAATAACCAGACGCTAGAAATTTGCACTCGCTTGAGACTGCTGACTTATTTTGCCGAATATAACTGATTTGAAATTGGAGTAAAAACGGAAACCATTGAATGTAAATCAGTTTATTTACATTCATATTACAGTATTATATGCGTTGCGACCCACTTTTGTCAATTTCTAGGTCCCAAATGTTAGCGATTTAGCTCCTTTAAATATAGCGAGAAACATTTCACACGGGCGAAAAAATAATCTGAAAAATAAAAGGAAATAACTTAAGACTTAATCCGATGACTTCCAGTTCCGGAAAAATCGATCAAGCTGTTTAAAAACGAGATGGATCAGAAAAAGAAATGAAAATGGCTGGAACAAACTCAAAAGTGGCGGGAAAATATTGAAAAATGGAGCTTATATTATTGGAATCAGATTGATCTCAGCTGTTCGAATATGTACGTCAAACTTGTAAATTTTGAAAACTAAGGAAATAAATCGTCTTGTAAACAACTTTGTCGGCACGAAAAAGTTCAAAGGCGAAATTTGAAATTTTGAAACATCAAAAATTCAACCCTGATCCCGGCTATCCAGAAATGTATTCATTTCGGAAATAGGAGAGGTATTTTTCAAACTACGGCCTATTGTGTTCATTTTCACGTCCGTTAACATGGATTTTTCACTTTTTTCATATTCAATTCAAAATGGTGACCATCAGTTGACCGAAATCAAAATTCTGCTACGGTAAATTTTTAGGCATTCCTTCAAGGATGTCTGTAAGTAAAATATCGTAAAAGCCTTAGGGATTTTTCACCTTACAAGATGGTGGCACTTCCGGTTCAATCAACAAACTTCATATTTTGTGTGCGCATCAGTAATTTCTTAGCTAGTACAGAAAAATAATTTGAAGGCATTCTGACCTACATTTTTTTTTAGTTTTTTCAAAACTTTTCCCTTAATTTCTACAAGGAGAGAGAAGTTAGGAAATTTCTAATGATATTGTTGCAGTTGGATCAATGACGTCTACTTACATCAAAAATTTCATGAAAATCGTACTAATATTAAAGAAGTCGTCAATTTGATTTTACTTACTGGATGAGATGTCAATGACGTAATTTTCGAAATTCAAAAATGGCAGATTGAAAGTAAATGTTTCAAGGTACTTAGAGAAAAAAAGAATTAGTAAAATAGGTCAAATAGTCACAAAGTTACAGCTACATGTACATGTATATAGGTCAACTGTTTTCGTTCGTAAAATTCTGTGATTACAAATGTATTATTTCCGAAATAGAAGATGAATTCAACAAACTACTGCCTATTGTGTTTATTTTCAAGCCGTTAATGTAGATTTTTCACTATTTTTTATATTCAATTCAAAATGGTAACCATCAGTTGACCGAAATCAAAATTCTGCTCCGACAGATTTTTAGGCATTCCTTCAAGGATTCAGAAAATGTAACTCTCATGTCTGTAAGTAAAATATCGAAAAATCTTTGGGATTTTAAACGTTTCAAGATGGTGGCACTTCCGGCTGGATCGACAAACTCCATATTTTGTGTATGCATCAGTAATTTTTTAGATATTACAGAAAAAAATTCCAAAGCAAACTGACCTATATTTTGTTGATTTTTTGGAAAACATTGATCCATAATTTCTCCAAGGGGAGATAAGTTAAAAAATTTCTAATGACATCTTTCAAGTCACATTGGTAAGATCTACTTGCATTACAAATTTGATGAAAATCTTGCAAATATTAAAAAAGTTGTCAAGTTGCTCTCATCTTCCGGGACGAATTCACAGCGACGAAAATTTTTGAAATTTGCAGGTGAAAATGATTTTTTTCAAGGTACTCAAAGAAAAAAGAATTAGTAAAATAGGTCAAAAAACCACAAAGTTACGACTATGCATTGTAAGTTTTTTCGTTCATAAAATTTGGTGATTTCGATTTCGTAAAACGTTTTGAAAATATGGTCAAAGTTTCAGAAAGAATCCCATGGTTAGATTCTGAGATATAAGATTTATGGGAAAATAACAAAAAAAAATAATAATAATAATATGTTATATGAAAGCTTAATAATATTAATCTTAACAAAAACAATAAGCTTTCATATAAAATATGAAAGCTTAATTATCACAAATCATTGAAAATTAATAGGCTGTGTATAAATATCAAGTCAATAGGCAAATAACTTTAGGTTCTAGAACATTCATAAGCATTTGTGGACGACAGACAAATGGGGATGACAACAATACAGAGAGAGAGAGACAGAGAGAGAGAAGAGAAGGTTTAACATCAACTCAACACAAACTAGGTCATTTCGGGACTAACACATGGTTCAATTTTATTTGAATAATTCGCTTGCGCGTAGGGGTCTTTAGCAGTGTGAGGAAACCAGAGGACCCGGAGAAAACCCACGAGGTTGGACAGGCGACCTACTCCTTGTCACGTACAACCAGGGAATCAAATGACAGACCGTTTGATCAAGCGCAGCACGCACATGCTAACCATTCAGCCATCCAACCCCCCCCCAAAAATACAGAAAAACCTCCAATTCAATGTGGGTGTATAAAAAAATTTTGAATTACATGTACCAGTGATTCGACTTCATAATTTGACTGTTGGTCATTATGACAACAAACATACCAAAATCATACAAGAAAAATCTGTAAGAAGAATAAACAAATTTATTTCGATATGACTGAATGAAAAACAAGAACATCTCTACACTCTTTGATCAAGAATCATTCTTGTATCAAGAAACAAAATTTTTTCAGATATATTTTCAAAATTCTATTTTTCTACAAAAGAAACCTCATTTATGTTTCATTCAATGGCAATCATATAACTGTTCATGATCAGCTATTATTATTTATTAAAGGGTTGAGTACAACCCAATCCTTTTTTTTTTACATGAAGTCAACAAATATAGAAGCTTTCTTCATATGAATTGCCAATACATCTAGGTTAGTTTTACGATAAGCAAGTTATCAATTGTTCCTAATGCTATACTTCAAGGCTGATGAAAAGAGTTTTTCTCTCACCACTGAACAATATGGCAAATTTCTTCAAATTCTTCGCATTTAGAAGTCTTTTTGGATAAATTCCCATAAAACATTCAATTTCAACATGTAAATTCTATTATCTCTTTGATTCACACTTTTCAACATTGAAGAGCACATCCATCATGAGCACTGAAAGTAATCTCACTTAAACATGAACTCAAATATTCACAAAAACTGTTCGCAAATAGAAAACATCTTCAAGTCTTCCGGAAACCCTTTAATATTGGATAAATGTTATCAAAAGCTTCATATATTTCTGTTCTTACTTTAGCTCCTGAAACAAAAATAGGAGAAAGTAAGTCAGACATTCTTTGGGGGGGGGGGGGGTTCTCATTGAAATTTCATTTTGGTTACTTTGAAACTGAATGTCAAGGACTATTTATCACTAATATCAGGCTTAAAAAATTCAGCTGACATATTAATAACTTAACTTGTTACTCAATTTCCAAAACAAACCACGTCATACATGTATATACTATAAATAGGCATACAAATACTCTTAACATGTTTAGGTTATTATAATGATCTATATGAGTAGCAGTATAACTATTTATTTATTAACGATGACAAGTAGATAGGAGAACAATTCATACCCCGAGACACAATACCTATTTTCTGATGTGTTATTGTTAAAAGAATTCCTCTTTGATATTTATCATGTTTGAATTACGGGCCTTAAAAAGGTTGGGACCAACACAAAGTAGATCAATCCCTTTCATACTAAAACCGTGACCAAAATGATCTGCCCAAATCATACAGAAAGATTACTGTTTCAAGCATTCTCATGTCATTTTGGGGGAACCATAAAACTCAATAAACTAGAGGCACATTAAAAATTATAATATACAGTGGACTCTGTCACTTCCAACATCTGAGTACTACAGCATTCTGTGAAATCCATCAACATTTTCATGTCCCAATTTATTTCCTTATTACTTAAACAAAAAGGTTTTGAGTAGTCCGGATTCTGAATATTTTGAATTACGACATCAATCAGTGGTCCCGTCAAATGATTTGCATTCAATTAACATTGGATAATCCGGCCTTTAATCAGTGGGTGTGAACAAACAAGCAATCACCAATCAATTATCTTTGAGCATAAAACATGTGTTGGTCTTTGTTAATTATCTTGGTAATCTTATCTCTTGTAAGAGAGTGCTTGGTATTTCATTTGAGTTTTATCAGGTCAAGAACAGTGACATTATATATAAATTGCCAAGATGAAGAATCACTATCATTATAATATTGTGTTCATAATGTCTGATCGTACAGAATGTACAGAAAGCGTTATCATATTTTATGTTCTGGGTATTAGAGGGTGCATTATAATAATACTTCCGGTATTCGAAGGTACAATAATACTTCTGGTATTAAGACAATTGAGTATTACAACATGCTGTGTAATCAGGCATATTGTATCGAGTCCTGTACAATGTCAGAAATTGACAAAGTTCACTGTACATTCAAATAACCACCATATCCCTACCGGTTAATACAACCTTTCCGGATACAAATATTAATAAAACAATTCTTGGCTTCACCATCCGATATATTAAACCAGGAAATAACTCTGGTTCATAACTGAAAAAAAGAAATAAATTCTTATTCACATCATCCAAAAATGCAGACAATTCAGATGATTTTAATTCCACACCACCACAAGATCCTACAAAGTTATCAAGCAATAATTTGGCTGGTAATTATCAGAATCATTTGAGTTCATTAGGATTCTTCCCCTGACTAACATACACAACGATTACAAATTTTAAAACCTAGCCAAAGACTTGTGAGGTTGCTTAAGCTGTCACTTTCAGCAAATTCTGTGGAACAAATTTTAAAAGACAGGTTGTCAGGCAATAAAACAAGTGTCCACAACAACTAAGTTGTCCAAGCAGCCGATAAAAGTCTGTGTTAATTCTTTAGGTAAATAAAAAGCAAGATCTTTATACTATAAAATATCATTGGAGCTCTGACAAAATGCTACAACAGTATTATGGGACATAAGTCTAGAAGGAATTAAAGTAGATCAGATTAGATGATACCTTCTGTGGCTGGAAAGTGAGCAAGACTCTACAAAGTGAGCATGGACCAAAAAGCAATTAATGGAAATTGTTTAAATTCGATAGGCTTCTATGTCACTTTAATCTAAACATTTGTCACATGAATCTAAACAATCTACATAAATTTCAAGCACATAAGATATCACAAAATATGAATTCTAATAGGGTTCTTTCATATGAACAAATGGACAATCCCTTAAAAAAGGAGTGTTTAAAATAGATGGAAAGACAGTGTGACAATGATATGTGGGAACTTTAAAAGTAATATACCTTGAGAACTGACTGTGTGTTAAAACCAACCCTTCAAGTCGTATTGGAAATTTCACATCACAACTTCCTACCATATTCTGTATTTTAAAGTCTAAAAATTTGGCCTGAAAAAAATAAAATAATTAACAATTGATCATAAAGAGGAATTAATTTGATAATGAATGAATTAATAATTAAATTAAATAAATGAAATGGGGTTTGACGTCCTAATGTTCTGCTCCGACTGGGCTAATAAAGACTCTGTATACAATCGTTAACATGTCCATAATCTTGTTGTTTATTTATGATTACATTGTCACTTTGAAAAGTGCCCCTGAACATGTTATATAAAAGGGCGCACTATAAATATGCTGTAGTAGTAGTAGTAGTAGTAGTAGTAGTAGTAGTAGAATAATAATAATAATAATTAATAATAATAATAATAATAATAATAATACCCCATACAGTGTGCTATTCCCTACTCTTATATCAAATTCCAACTGCCAAGGGAACAAACAAGCACCTACCAGCCAGGATACGCCCACATTTTGCAAGAGATGGATAGAGAACAAGCTAAACAAAAAGCGATTTTTCGTAACATCAAGGGCCATAATTCAGGAAGTTACGATCCGATATGTGCAAATATCGACAGGAACTTTGGGTTATAAAGATATATTTCAAGTTTCATCAAAATGGGATCAACATTGTGACTTCGAGAGGGTCCACAACCTTGATATACCATATATTTACACTATTTGCGTACGAATGGCGACCATTTTGTCCGGCAGTTCTGGTCTGATTTTTACGAAACTCAGCTGTCATTAGGGTGTAACGGTGAAATATTCAAACGGTTTTTTTTCCAATCGGATAAAAATTGTGACCACAAGCTAAAAACGTGATTTTTCGTGCAATCAAGGGCTATAATTCAGGAAGTTACGATCCGATATGTGCAAATATCAAAAGGAACCAAGATCTTTGGGTTATAAACATGCATTTCAAGTTTCAGAATTAGAAGAAAACTGTGTCCTCTAGAGTGCCACAAGCTAAAAACGTGATTTTTCGTACAATCAGGGGCCATAAACAATGAAGTTATCGTCCGATATATGCCAATATTGGCAGGAACCGAGATCTTTGGGAGATAGACCTATATTTTAAGTTTCATCAAAATTAGATAAAAATTGTGACCTGTATAGTGTCCACAAACAAATTGTGGACAGACGTCCGGACGGACGGACAGGGGCGACGACAATATACGTCCACATGAAAATGTGGGCCTTTAATAAAATTGAAGATTTGTTGTTGTTTTAATGTTCTATTGAAATGTATTATTATTATTATTATCTTCATTTAACTTTAATTCGTGTATTGCATGACTGTAAACATTACAAAATAGAATGGTGTTTTGTATAGTAATTTCAAATTCGAAATCAGTAGATTTCATCCTGTTTTTAAATTAATTTCTCGGTTATCTACAGCTAACGACCCTATGAATACTTACTGGAAATCCCAGTTTTTGTACTATTCTAGCATACTTTCTGGCAGCAAGTTTAGCTTGGTCTTCACTACAAAAGAAAATGTGCAATTGATAATCCATGGATAAAGCAAGTTTTCACAGTGCTCATATTTAATTTTACTATGTACATTCATGTAGAGGTGTATAGTGAAGATATATGAGCAAGGGAAATGGCAGAGCTCTAACAGGGTGATCTGTCATTAATTTATTACGGTCTACCCAGTTGTAATTTAATGTAACATAATAACAGCAGATGAACCTAGCAGTGCATTGATGCCTTATCGGAGGTAAGAACATAATAGTATGTTCTGTATTGAGCAATAAATTTTATGTTACAGAACTAAGGTTCAGAGCTTCACAAAAGATACAAAAGGCACAAAAGGCACAACTATTGGTTGATTATCGATATGTATAAAAAAACGTTTCATAAACATAAAAAGATTTGCAATGGTTGATGAGATATACACTGGAAAACCAAATCGAGACAGAAGAACGGGCGACTTGGGATAATAACTTACAGCAGATGTATTTTATAAAATATATTACATTGCACTAGACTCATGGTATCAGTCATCCTATCTCTGATCCTTGAAAACAACACTATTGTGAATGTTGAATCTATGTAAGTCTTATCAGTCCAAAATGATGTAATTCAGTTCAGTATTTACAAAGATACCGGTAAGATGAACTGAAAATTTGTCAATATTCAACATCCCTTTCTGATAAACAAGATATGGTCACAATAAGAGCTAGCACCACCTATAAACCTTTGCTAAAAATCCAAGATGGGAGATTATCTACCATTGATACTTTGATTTTGTTTTCTTAATCAAATGCTAAATAATCAATTTGAGTACATAAGTCGTGAAATATTAGATTTGTCCTAAAATGTAAATGAAATGTACTTGATTTGGGGGCACAGATGGTTGTGGGGTTAAGAACCATCCAGGTTCTCAGTAGTGCCTGTAGGGTTGAAAAGATAAGTGTGTTTAGTTGTTCTTATAAAAGGAAAGGTTGGTTGCCAGGCAACATAACATCCGCCCACAGCAAAGAAATCGTCTGAGCAGTCGACAAGAGTTGTCATATATTTATGCTTTTGTAGGTAATAGGAAGATTTACAAGACAATGATATCAATTGGTATAAAGAGTATGTAGAAATGCCTCTGTTGGGTCAAAATTCTCCACCTTACACGTATATCGCATCTTACATAAAATGACAAGATAAAAGATCAGTGTTGATACGTTATATCCCATTTCATTCTTTACTAACCTATCAAAACTACACAATACTGTCCAGTGTCCAAGACAAATGTTTGAAAATGAATATTTACCTTTTTGCACCAGTGCACACCATTTTGCCTGAACTAAATATAAGAGCTGTTGTTCGTGGATCTCGTATTCTCATAATAACGGCAGCAAAACGTTTAGGATTATATTCAGCATTTCTCGCATGTAATGCGATTTTCTTTAAGTCAAGTTTACAATTTAAATTAACAGTACAAACTATATTCCTGAAAAATAAAACATATCATAGATGCAATGGAATCATAACCCAAGTCTCCAAGTTTTCAGGGGGGTTGGATGGCTGAATGGTTAGCATGCGCGCGCTGTATCATAAAGTCTGTCATTGAGTTGACTGGCGTGGTTTCGAATCCCCGGTTGTACATGACAAGGAGTAGGGTCGCCTGTCCAACCTCGTGGGTTTTCTCCGGGTCCTACGGTTTCCTCCCACTGCTAAAGACCCTACGCGCAAGCGAATTATTGAAATAAAATTAAACCATATGTTAGTCCTGAAATGACCTAGTTTGTGTCGAGTGGACGTTAAACCCTATTTCTCTCTCTCTCTCCAAGTTTTCAAGAGCTACTGACCGAGAAGGGTAATTGTGTGGTTAGATCCATGTAACCGCACTGCAGGTCTGTACTAATCTGTACCCAATGTCATTTCATATACATAAAAAAATCTTTTTGATAATAATGCTGATGTTCTCTATTTACTATAGGGTATCATAAGCACCTGTGACCTACTGAATGTAAGAGATGAGCACAAGTTATAGAGATGAGTGTAACTGGAATATAGCAATTTATATTCAGCAGTTTTTCCAAACGTTATGATCTTTCTAAAGCTTTAAGTATGCAGTCTTTAGAATTAGAGAATTTGTAGATGATGAAAACCAAATGATCGCACTTTTCAGAAAAGTATGTTTTTGATCAAAAGATTGATTAATAATAATAATAATCTTACTGTAATTGTGGCTTTATTCCTGAACCTTCCGAAGCAGGTGTAGCAGGAGAGTAGGGGGTTAAAGGGCCACCTGGTGTTGGTGTTTGGGGATATAAACTGGCATTTGAAGGTGGCAGAACTGGATTAGGTGTTCCAATACCAAAAGTACTTAAAGATGGAGACATCAATGGACTCTGAAAATAAAATAAAACTGAAGCTGTTTTTATAAAACTAATGAAGATAGGTTGCCTGGCAACGAAACATATGGCCAAATCAGCTAAATCGTCTGAGCAGTCAACAAGGGTTGCCGCATATTTCTTCTTTTGTAGGTAATGGGTATATTTACAAGACTCTGATGACATCAATTTAATACAGATCAGATGATAACTTTGTCGTCAGGGCATTCACAAGGTTCAACAAAGTGAAACTGGGTCAACTTTAGAAGTTATATACGGAAATTGTTGAAATTTAAATAATGCATATAAACTTAATACAGATTGGATGATAATATTAGTTGTTAGAGCATTCACAAAGTTCTACAAAGTGAAACAAGGGTCATAATATGAGAATTAATTAATATTTTTTATACAAAAAAATGTGTTTGATGGACAGGTGTATGGAGGCGACGGCAATTACAACCACATTTATATGGGCAAATAAAAAGTTATTTTTTGTCATTAAGCATTGCTTTGTTGGGCTTTGTTTTGCGAAATTAAAATGCAAAACTTTAATAAATGGATGATTGTAAATCCTGTTTCAGAAATGCAGTAAAATTTGCAATTCTGAATGTAACGACCACAGATTTTTTGACATTCGATAATTAACTTCCAGTTCCGTTTTATCCAGACACACATGTGCGAATAGAACATTCATTGCTAGGGATGCTATCTGTTATTTGAGTGTTTATACGATGAAGAATGTGGACATGGACTGATGTAATAGATGTGTAATCAGTGAAATGTGATATAAGGCAGTTAGTATATTTGATAATATAAGAACAAACATTGGTAGCACCACAAACTAATTTACTCAAAACACAAAAAAAAACAACAAGCGGTTACCCTGCAAGATATGTGCACATTTTGCAAGAGATGGACAAAGAATGAGCTAGAAATGAATGTGATTTTTTGTACTATCAGGAGCCACAATCCAGGAAGTTTTGGTACAATATTCACGAATATTGGCAGGAACCAAGATCTTTTGGATGTAAACATATATTTGAAGTTTCATCGAAATCGGATAAAAATTGTGATTTCTAGAGAGTTCGCAACCTTGGTATTACAAACTTTTGCACCATTTCTTTTGCGTACAAGGAGCAGACATTTTGTCGGGCAGTTTCGGTCCGATTTTCACAAAATTCAATCTCAACCATCATTATGGTGTAACGGTGAAATATTCAAACTTTTTTTTTAAATCGGATAAAAATTGTGACCACTAGAGGAGCCAAAAACTAACAAGCGGTTGCCATGCAAGCTACGCTCACATTTTGCAAGAGATGGACAGAGAACAAGATAAAAAAAAGAAGTGATTTTTCGTACAATCAGGGGCAATAATCCAGGAAGTTATGGTTCTATATACATAAACATCTAAAGGAACCTAGATCTTCGGGATATAAACACATTTTAAGTTTCATCAAAAACATATAAATTGTGACCTCTAGAGGGTCCACAACTTTGGTATTACATACTTTTACACTATTTGCGTACAAGGAGCAGCCATTTTGTCGGACAGTTTCGATCCGATTTTTACGAAATTCAAACTCAACCATCATTATGGTGTAACGGTGACATATTTAAACGATTTTTAAAATTGTGACCTCTAGAGGGTCCACAGGCTAAAAGCACAATATTTTGTACAATCAGGGGTCACAATCTAGGAAGTTAATGTTCGATATGTGCAAATCGGATAGAAATTGAGACCTCTAGATTGTCCACAAGCTACCAACGTGATTTTTAGTATAATCAGGGATCATAATCTATGAAGTTACGGTCCGATACATACCAATACCAATATCGAAAAGAACCAAGATCTTTAGGAGATAAACCCATATTTCAATTTTCGTCAAAATCAGAGTAAAATTGTGACCTGTAGAGTGTCCAGAAACAAATATGAACAGACAGACACACGGACAAAGACAATATATATACGTCCACATCAACAGAATGGCAATGCTGAACATTATGATGAAATCTAGGGTCAATACAGCTCCTACAGTTGAATGGAACTGGAAGACACTACGGTATGGCAAGGCTGCCACCTGAACATGTCAATTCAAGAAGGATTGAGTACCAGCAAAGTTATGCGTCACCCAAAGCTTTGGATGCCATCACACGATTGGCCAATCATATAGCATAGAAGAACCCCTAGAGTGTTGTGACTCACCAGCACTTCCAGTCAAATCAGCTGTGCGATTTTATTGCATCTCAGTATATAAAATACTAATTCATTTTACAAAACTCAGTATCATTATTACATTTGGCGACCACTTCTAAAAACTTAAAAAAGTTTTTTCTATAAAATCAGATATAAATACTATAGTATTTAGTTGATAAACTTAATGATACATTATGTAAGATTTAGATAAAGAACTAGCCATTCTTACTATAATAGTTCGAAAAAAGGATAATGTAAAATAAATAATCTGAAAATTTCATTCAAATTACTCTATTGCGAGCGAAGATATTAGCCTTTGAAGGTTTGGCAAGACGCGTGCAATAATTTCAACCACCGTGCTGGTTCTTTAAAGCTAAGTCTCGCTCCTCCATTTTTTATGGAAGGGGATCGACGCCACATTAAAAGACATGTAAACACGAGTAGAAGTTACTATGTCAGCATATGAAAGTGTTGTTTTGATGATTTTTCCATGTTCGATTTTACAAAATAGAAAAGTATTGTCCACTAACGAAAAAACACATGTACAAATGCGCCTTGTAACGTTTGTATTTTCTACATCTGATCTTTCAACTGTTGTAATTTCTACTAGTGCATAATCGACATATGTAACTTCGACATCGGTATTTTCTTCCAATGTAATTTCTCCACATGTCACATCCATCAAGGCGTGGTTCCGATTTTAGCCGAAGCTTGCGTCATAAAAACAAAACCTCCCTTCAAGTAGTCTCGGTCATCCAGACAATATGGCTCCTCCGCGATAGCTCCCTTGACTAACGGGCTTGGATGACCGAGGCTACCCTTCGAGGAAAGTCATTCCTACTACCAGAAAGTTGCATGGGGAGCATCAATAATTTTTAACGGAAGTTAACACTAACATATTGTTTTATGCTAAATTTTAATACAACTTTTAATAGTTTGCTTTCTTTGTTATTTTTATGTGTCTTGAATTCACCATTTCTGGTGTTCATGTCGTTAACATAATTTTGAATGCATAGTTATAGTTTCGAATAAAGAACCGCCCCTGTCGGCCCTGTCGTCTGCTCCACATTGGTGACATCGTTCAATCGTAGCCATGGACAATAATAATCAGGTATATTTATGTTTGAATATCTTCCACAAAAAACTTGTTCTTAGAGCACATAAGCGTACAAATATACTACATAAGTGACACAGGTCTTTCTTCTTTTTTTGATTGTCAGATGGTAGCACTATCTACACTACAGTTCTACACTCATTCAGTCGTTGAGTCGTTATAGTTTCACGCGTAGACGCCGTAGATACCACATGGTCAATGAAATGGGGTTTAACGTCCTATTTTGATGTATTTTTTGTATTGGCTAATGAAGACTGGCATATACCATGCAGGGTGCAATGAGGGAAATTTTGTCAGGACAGGAATTTGATACCCTTTTTTTTAGACCAATGTAATACATGTTATGTTCAAAACAACCCCCATCTAATAGAAACTCGAAAATATTGTTTGTTTACTATAATCTTATAATAAAGCTAAACTACACTCAATCACATAAGAGCTTATCTACCTTGCATTGAAATTGATTCATTATAATATAATATGCAGGCCCGTAGCCAGACTGTAATCAACGGCGCAATTTCAGGGGGCATCAGGCCATGATCAAGGTAACCTTCACCCCTACCCCTTTCTAAATCTATGCATATTTGATGAATAATGGACATCCAGATCAGATGATCATTCATGATATTTAGTTAGAGCTATTTATTTATCATTCTTATTTATTATATGGGGAGCAGCAGTGGCTCAGTGACTACGGAGCTTGCTTACTAACCAGGTCCAGGTTGTTGATTCGATTCCCAGTCATAAAAACTCATGACGGATTCCCCTTCCTTGTCAGTCACAGTGGTGCAGACCCGAGCTGAGGGGCTGGCAAAGAATAGCACCTAGTCGTTTGGATGGGACGAAAAACCGAGGTCCAGTGTGCTGCATCAGGACAGGGCGCATGCTAAAAATCCCAGACAGTTGGAAATTGTTAGAGATACTGATAGTACTAGTAGTAGTAGGCCTAGTGATTCATTTCATAGGCATAGTCTAGCTAGGGCTAGGCGAGTTATTGATGGATGTCCTGACAAAATTTCCCTCATTGCACCCTGCGTGGTATATGCAAGTCTTCATTAGCCAATACAAAAAATACATCAAAATAGGACGTTAATCCCCATTTCATTGACCATGTGGTATCTACGGCGTCTACGCGTGAAACTATAACGACTCAACGACTGAATGAGTGTAGAACTGTAGTGTAGATAGTGCTACCATCTGACAACCAAAAAAAGAAGAAAGACCTGTGTCACTTATGTAGTATATTTGTTCGCTTATGTGCTCTAAGAACAAGTTTTTTGTGGAAGATATTCAAACATAAATATACCTGATTATTATTGTCCATGGCTACGATTGAACGATGTCACCAATGTGGAGCAGACGACAGGGCCGACAGGGGCGGTTCTTTATTCGAAACTATAACTATGCATTCAAAATTATGTTAACGACATGAACACCAGAAATGGTGAATTCAAGACACATAAAAATAACAAAGAAAGCAAACTATTAAAAGTTGTATTAAAATTTAGCATAAAACAATATGTTAGTGTTAACTTCCGTTAAAAATTATTGATGCTCCCCATGCAACTTTCTGGTAGTAGGAATGACTTTCCTCGAAGGGTAGCCTCGGTCATCCAAGCCCGTTAGTCAAGGGAGCTATCGCGGAGGAGCCATATTGTCTGGATGACCGAGACTACTTGAAGGGAGGTTTTGTTTTTATGACGCAAGCTTCGGCTAAAATCGGAACCACGCCTTGATGGATGTGACATGTGGAGAAATTACATTGGAAGAAAATACCGATGTCGAAGTTACATATGTCGATTATGCACTAGTAGAAATTACAACAGTTGAAAGATCAGATGTAGAAAATACAAACGTTACAAGGCGCATTTGTACATGTGTTTTTTCGTTAGTGGACAATACTTTTCTATTTTGTAAAATCGAACATGGAAAAATCATCAAAACAACACTTTCATATGCTGACATAGTAACTTCTACTCGTGTTTACATGTCTTTTAATGTGGCGTCGATCCCCTTCATAATTTTTAGCTTAAATCAAAATATGGTTGAACTGTTCTAATCTATTTAATATCGGAGAAATCCAAAGCCATCGAGAGTTAATTAATTAATAATTTAGAAAACATTTCTGGCCTAAAGAAAGACCTGCAATAGGCAGATTTAGCTGTTGCATAATGTATGTTTAAACTATTGTTTTAAGGGACATTTATTACTGAATGAGAATAACACATGACACGATTATATGGAATACAAGTTAGTTATAAAATTTATTTCTGGTGATGTTTCCATATAATCGTGTCATGTGTTATTCTCATTTAGTTACTAAATTCCGCTTAAACAATAGTTTAAATTTAAGAACTCAGTACTAAATACTATAGCATTTATATCTGATTTCATGGAAAAAACTGTTATGTGTTAAACTTACACCATTTACATCACATTTTGATTCTCAAATCTTATGGCCCAGCTTAGACAGTTGTTAAAATAGTAAGTTTATTAGAATAAGATTTATACCTGTTGAGGATTTGGGGTCAGGCCTGTTGCAAATGATGGAAAACCTCCCTCCATTTCTGCTGTTTAAAATCAACTCCAGTTCACTGGAAAACAAAATCAGTTTAATCAGATCAGAAAAGATGGGAGGCTAAGAGTAGATGATCTGTGAGTGACTGACCATAAATGTAATGTTTCAACCATGGATAATCACAAGTTTGATCCACACTGAAATTGTGGTGTCAAAATATTAGTGTGGAGCATAAGGAAACAAGAATACTATCTATGTAACCTGAGAATGGTCATCTTGTATTGCAACTGGTAAACACACAGGTACAAATTATAAAACTGTATGTTTTTGGCATCTTGGACAGTTTTTTGTTCTATACCCTAAACTTGCAGAGCAATCTAAATATTAGCTACGAGAACGTAGCTAAAGATGTTAAGATATACTGATGTGCTTGTTTTCAGCTACGATTGGGTGCCTTTAGTTTCCCCTGGCAAACTTAATTTCATTATTGATGCATGTAACATCTTTAGTGCCTTTAGTTTCACCTGGCAAACTTAATTTCATTATTGATGCATGTAACATCTTGAAAATAAGTTAATTGTATACTATTAGGACTTATTAAACATATGCACCCCACTCTAGTGAAACAACTTTGGTTTATCTGCAAATATTGTCAATAAATTAAATCAAGTGTTGTTTTTATCAAAATTGATACAGACATTAATATTACGGTGTATTATTCCTGCGCAACTCATATCAGTTTAGTACTTTGATTGGCTGTTGTCATGACATCAAAGATGTCAAATTTAAAATGTCAGCGAGCCAAGCTATTATTGCTTCGATTTAAAAAAATATGATCTGTAGGATTATATGCTTAAATGTAGTTGAAGGTGGCAGAAATGTTATGAATAACAATAATCAATCGTTGTTTTGATGAAAAATTTTGCTTACTGAGTCAGTGAGTTAGGGCCGATGTGATGCCCGTTGGGTTTTGCCAGATGGAACTATATAGCACAATTTCTTATCTCGAAACACGGAGGGTTGAGAGATGAGGTTTGTTATCTATCTAAATAGTAAATATAATATATAGGCCTAGGCCTACTTATTATTATTAGTTGTTTTATTATTTTCTACCATTTTCAATGACAAAATACATTGCCTGCAAGTGATCTATTACATACATGTACACTACCAATTTGTGCACAGGTTAGATGTCACATCCATCTCTGAGTCTGACATTTAACAACCAGGTTTGTTGAATCTCAAAGCTCAAGAATCGAACACAGAAAAGTAAGGTTTGTGAGTCCAAAATAATCCTAAACACACAAAAACGCAGTGGCGGGCATGCCCCTCCCCAATAAAGTGCCACAATGGCACACAAGCAAATGACAAAATTTAAACAAGACCACCTGACAACTTGGTAAAACTAAAACAATGTACAATGTGTAGACTTATTTTGTCAACAAAGCTAGGGTCTTGCCACTTCATCTTCATCTTCATCTTGGCTCTTGTCTTTATTTTATTTAGAATCAATCAGTTTTGGTCGTCTATAAAGGTAAACACAATAACTAGGCTATATCTTACATTTTCTAATCCAAAGTCTTTTTTTAAGGGGAAAACTGGACTAAGGCATAATTATATTATTAACTGTTATGTTATAGAAGAATCTAAAAATATGAGTTACCCTTAAGTCCAATCGAAATTCTCAGTCGAATCAGTCGATGGCTGTTTAAAATTTGGGAATAGTTTGTAATTTTAATTAAACAAAAAACGCACTTGTTCAAATATCGTTTATCATCGGTTTTTTTCCCCCATTTTCAAATTTGACCATTAAAATTTAAACTGTAATGCGTTTTCCCTCCAATCCCCCAAAACAACTCCTACATACCCTGCTTTACGAGAAAGGTCATCAACTAGGGTTAAAGGTCAACGAGTGGGGTCATTGATTGACTGAAATCAACGGCAGTAGTCTGCGTTCGATGCATAAAATTGACGACAGCATTATCTAGTTGCTCCGGGATTAAAACAACAACATGTAAGGATTTAGCCAAATCATCAAGTTTAGGCTACTGATAAAGTCCCAGAGAGTTTTGGATTAGACTTATTATATGCTCAAGTTTAGTCAGTGCCGGATTAACCTTGTGGGGGGGCCCGGGACATACCAACTGTGCGGGGGCCCCATTGTTGTTTGTTCAAATTATTCGTACTGACCGCGGATCGTACTAGTATTTACTCCGCCAGCTTGAGTGCCTGTGGTGTTTTCCTCCAGTAATTTTTTTTAAAATTAGGATTAATTTCAGTGCAATGAAATGAAAATGAAATGGGGTTTAACGTCCTACTGTTCTGCTCCAATAATGGGCTAATGAAGACGGGCATACGCCATACAGTGTGCTATGAGGGAAATTTTGCCCGGGCAGCGGCACCATCGCCTACTCTTATATCGAATTCCAACTGCCAAGGGATCTTTTACGTGCATTCCAATGTATACACGGGACCTCGGTTTTTCGTCTCATCCGAAGGACTAGACAGCTGTCCTTGTCAGGCCCTCTGTCCTGCATCACTGACAAGGGGGAACCACGCCGGAAAATCAGGATGAACTTTCTCGGCCAATGCAGGGATCGAACACCCGACCTCCAGGCTAGCGAGCTAGCGTCTTACCCACTTAGCCACGTGATCCCCTAATTTCAGTGCATCTGAGACAATTTAGGCAGCGATTTCTTTGACGTTTAGAATTCGTTGACAATTTGAGTATTTTAAACAGACTCTTTCTCTTATGATGTTTTCATTTACTTTATTTTAGTGAAATTATTTTAGGTGACATAAAACATTAAACTCCAATCAGCAATGAATGTCAGTAAAGATTTTTAGAAGGAAACTTCTAACAAGACCAGTTAACCCCCCCCCCCACCCAATATCGCTTACTGCCCAGGGCCCCAATCCTCGCCCCCTCAGCCCAGGTACTAGTTGGCTCCGTCCGGGATAAAATATTAGAATGACCCAGAATTATGGGGGGCCCCTAAATGTGGGGGGCCCGGGACATTTGTCCCACTTTGCCCCCCCCCCCCCCTAGATCCGGTACTGAGTTTAGTAAGTAATTCATTTTTGAATTCACGCTTCTTAGATTTAATCAGTTTTGTGTACTCACGTTTCAACTTATAATATGTTTGACGTACCGTTGGGTCATTATGAAATTTTTCAAAAGTTTCAGCATATTTCGACAGACGTCTTCTCGTTTGTACACGTGATGTTTTAAACCATGGTTTAGCATTTTTCTTCCTTTTCTTGAGTATTCTATAGGTTTTAAACATTTAAGCAACCAGTTTTCAGAACTGTTTCAAGTTGTAATACATTGTTGTTTATGTCATTAATGTCGTTCGTAGGATTTAATTAGCTCATTTGTATTAAAATATTCTTGCAATGATGTTCTTGATTCAGCTTCCCACTTGAAACGTAAAGGACTGAAAGGTATATTTGAACTCCTTACATTGGAAGCACTAATACAATATTTCACATCAAAATATAAACCAGATCTGACATTGATCTGAATAGCTAGAAAGTGGACGAACTCTGAAGCTAGAAATCTTTTTATACAACATCGCCTGTTTTCCCGCCAAAAATGAGCGCCATCTTGGAATTATCCTAAATATGTGAACATGTGATCAATTTACAAGGTTGTTAATGTCTGGAATGGAATCTGCTCCCCCGAAAACAAATATATTGACATCAAACACTACTACATAATCGTTACATTTTTTTCCGCCAAAAATGGTCGCCACCTTGGAAATATGTTAAATATGTGAACATGTGATCATTTTACAAGGTTGTAATATGTCAGAAATAGATTCTGCCATATAGCAACTATATAGCACCATCTCTTATCTCGAAACACGGAGGGTTGAGAGATGAGGTTTGTTATCTACACAGTCTGGGTGCCATAATAGGCCGCAAATAGATGATTTTTTCAATCAGTTTTGAATGTTAATCTGGGCTTGGTGACAGTTTAATGTTCAGTGGTAATGAATTCCACAGAACAGTCACAATACGAACAAACGATCTGTATCAAAATGATTTGAGTTTATATTTTGGAATTATAAGAAGATGTCCTTGTTGAGAACGGGCTGGACGTCCAGGAAAGTATAATAAAAGATCTGCTAGATAGGAGGTTCATTTCCATGTAAACACTTATACGTAAGGCACAAAAGCGTAAAATCTATTCTTTATTTAATTTGCAATCAATGAAGTTTTTTGAGTGCTAGTGTAATGTGCGAATAATAAAATTGGGATATATTAATATACTAGCAGGATACCCGGCTTCGCTCGGGGGTCATAACTCCGAAACCGGAAGTGGTAGACTAACGCCACCTGGCCTATGTTACTCCCCGGTCCGAGCTACCCCTATACCCCAAATTTCAGACTCAGGGCAGACCTAGTGTAGCTGCCAACCCCGAACAGACCGGCTTCGCTCGGGGGTCATAACTCCGAAACCGGAAGTGGTAGACTAACGCCACCTGGCCTATGTTACTCCCCGATCTGAGCTACCCCTATACCCCAAATTTCAGACTCGGGGCAGACCTAGTGTAGCCGCCATCCCCGAACAGACAGACTTCGCTCGGGAGTCATAACTCCGAAACCGGAAGTGGTAGACTAACGCCACCTGGCCTATGTTACTCCCCGGTCCGAGCTACCCCTATACCCCAAATTTCAGACTCGGGACAGACCTAGTGTAGCCGCCAACCCCGAACAGACCGGCTTCGCTCGGGGGTCATAACTCAGAAACCGGAAGTGGTAGACTAACGCCACCTGGCCTATGTTACTCCCCGGTCCGAGCTACCCCTATACCCCAAATTTCAGACTCGGGGCAGATGTAGCCGCCAACCCCGAACAGACAGACTTCGCTCGGGGGTCATAACTCCGAAAACGGGAGTGGTAGACTAACGCCACCTGGCCTATGTTACTCCCCGGTCCGAGCTACCCCTATACCCCAAATTTCAGACTTGGGACAGACCTAGTGTAGCCGCCAACCCCGAACAGACCGGCTTCGCTCGGGGGTCATAACTCCGGAAGTGGTAGACTAACGCCACCTGGCCTATGTTACTCCCCGGTCCGAGCTAACCCTATACCCCAAATTTCAGACTCGGGGCAGATGTAGCCGCCAACCCCGAACAGACAGACTTCGTTCGGGGGGTCATGAATCCGAAACCGGAAGTGGTAGACTAACGCCTCCTAGCCTATGTTACTCTCCGGTCCGAGCTACCTCCATACCCCAAATTTCAGACTCGGGGCAGACCTAGTGTAGCCGCCAACCCCGAACAGACCGGCTTCGCTCGGGGGTCGTAACTCCGAAACCGGAAGTGGTAGACTGTCACCTGGCCTATGTTACTCCCCGGTCCAAGCTACCCCTATACCCCAAATTTCAGACTCGGGGCAGACCTAGTGTAGCCGCCAACCCCGAACAGACAGACAGACAGACAGACAAACGACAGTCACAAATATTAGTATACATAGATAGATAGATAGATGGCATCGATTAATCCCACACTTATTAACATTTCTGTGCGTGTTATTTTTCACTTTTTACTCCATTTCGCGTTTGCTTGCTAAGTAAGTATGGGGCGCCGTTTGTAAATTAATTATTTAGCTTTTTATATAGCCAAAAACACTAGATTTAATTTAAATTTATATAAATAGTTAAATCTCGACTTTTGTGCAAATTTTTCACTTTTAATATTTAAACTAAAAATACAACAAAAACTCAATATTTAACATAATATATATAAATATTTCTTGATTTGTCTCTATTTTCATATTTAACATTTAGCATTGAATATTAAGACCAAAACAAGAGATTTGATGATATATAAATATTTAGCTAAATATATATTTAGTTAAATGTTAAAATATTTAGTTAAACATTTATATATTTAGTTAAACATTTATATATTTAGTTAAATAATATATATTTAGCTAAATAATATATATTTAGCTAAATGTTTATATATTTAACTAAATAATTATATATTTAGCTAGCTAAATAATTATATATTTAGCTAAACATATAGTTGAAATTACAAAGCGCAACCGTACCACGCCGTTTGTAAAATAATTATTGTTGAAAGCGACTTCACACTAAACGATGACGTAGTGTACAACTTTCCATTGACTGCACAACACAGTACTATCTGGTACCTGAACGCTCAGCTTAGTTCTTACACCCGCAATTCGTTAATGATGCTTACATAATAGAAATATTGGCGGGACCACAAATATATATATATACTTAAATATTTATACATTTAGCTAAACATATATATTTAGCATGATATTTATATATTTAGTTAACTGTTTATATATTTAACTAAATATATATATTTAGTTAAATGTTTATATATTTAGTTAAATGTTTATATTTAGCTAAATGTTTATATATTTAGCTAAATATTTAACTTTAGATTTTTCAGTGATTTAGTATTTAGCATTTATACCTACGAAAAACAGCACATTTAGCTATATATTTAACTAAGCGATGTGAAATCAAAATATAACATTTAAAGTTTTTCATAGACCAAAAACTCGACTTTTAGCTACAATATTTTTTGATATTTACATATATGCCATTTTTGTTCTAATAATTATCTAAATATATATATTCGGAGTTAAATCTAATGTTTTTGCTATAAAAGAAAATTAAATAATTATTTTACAAACGGCGCCCCATAAGTACGGAGTGTTATATTTTATATATTCTGATATTTGGTTTAACGTATATTGCAAATATCTTCTGAGTTCAGTAAAGATAATGCGGACATAACGTGTTTCTGTGATAAACTTAGATGTATTTGTAGTAGGGTGTTAAGTTATATTCTTTTTAAATATTTTAGCCAGTTTCCATTGTCCTGTGTATACAGCTAGTCTTTTATTTCCAGTTGTTATAATTACTTAAGTTTATAGTTTAAAGATACTATTTTAAGATCGTGAGTAGATTTCAGTATCTTGGAAACCTGGTTTGTTGATCCTCAAACTTTCAACATCTTTCATCAGTTACAGCACAATTAATAACATTCAAGGTAGGTTTAACATTTGTTTGACTGGACTAGACATTTTAAACTATATACATAATTCAATACTAATTAATTAAATAAGTATTTTAGTAATAAATATAAAAACAATATAGCAAGTTAATATCTTTAGAAAAAAAGACAACTTTATATTGCAGAATTAAATAATAAATGATTAAATATATTATGTCCTGTGTGATGTCTTGTTAATTGTGATGTCTAATTGTTTTATAGTGTTCCTACAAAATACAGTACTTAATCTTTGCTCTATTTTTTAGTAATTAGTAGAATGCCTCACTTATAAATATGACTTGGGCTGTTCACTTTTTTAAATGATCATTTTGCATCTTTTCGGTGTTTTTGTTGAGTGTGTTTTGTCCTGTAATAAACTGTTGTTTTATCAATTCGTCATCCGATCCTCCTGCTACATATTGTTGATAGTAGGGTTCACAGAACTTACGAATACCCGAGCTTGTATCGTTAACACCTCGGGTAGCTGTTTTTCTTGCAACGTGATCTGAATTGTAGAACGCCATACTAACATAAAACCAATTCATTGCTAATGTCATGGGTGTCGTGTTAATTAAATTAATATTTGTAAATTTGTCATTCCATACAATACAGCTTGATACACTGATCAAGATCAAACCAAGCAAACAGCCACTTGGTAACATGTGAGTACTTTTCAGATTCAAAGAAAGCAAACATCTACCAAATGAACTGTCCTTCAGTTTTAAATTGTGCGGTCATGTGTAATCATCTCTTCGTTTTAGCCGAATAAGACAAGTCCTTGGTCTCAACAGGTTTGTAATCTTTAACTTTCTTTTTTGAATTTTATTTCGATATAGGAGGGAGGAATAATCACAAGTAGGCTGATTGCTTATGATAGGCCTACAGTGCACATTACTTGAACAGTAGATCCTAAGCTTATACGTGTCCAACCTCGTGAGACCCCCACCCCAACAACGCATACAAACTACAAAAGACACCTGCGTAAAAGCACATTATTGTATAAAATTGTACCATAATTATGAAAATGTATCCAGAACATCTTGTTGAACATCTTGTTAAACATTTAACATTTTAAACTTATTACTATTACAGACATGTCTTGTTATCGGTCGGACAATGCCGGCATGGTAGTTGTTCTTTGGGTAAGCAACATTTTTTTTGATTAAAAGATCTTCGCCATATTGCAATATTTTCGTCAAACTACATAGAAATACTTTCCATCCTATATCAGACTTTTGACTTATGAGACAGGTCTAGTCCAATGTAATTGACATAATAATATTCGTAAGTGTAATCCTTCAACACCAATGAATTTGTCAATGGATAGGCATATTGTTTTGAGTTTAGGAAACGAGTATAGGCTAATATTAATTCATGGGGTTTTATTTTCAGATTACCTAACACTAAAGGAGACAAGAGGTTTATGATGTCATAGAGAGGTCCACACACGTTATTATTTATCTTATACTGGGTCTTTATATATTGGCTTGTTGATATTGTTTAAGCTTGGCTTGTGCACCAATTTTCTTTTGTAAACATCATAATGTATGCTTAGGATGTTTTGGATTAAAGTTATATATAGATATGGGGAGTAATTAAATTGGAATATATTAATATATAGCATCGACTAATCCCACATCTCCTTTAGGCTTATTAACATTTCTTTGCATGTTATTTTTCACGTTTTACACCATTTTGCATTTGCTATAGGGGTGCTATATTTAATATATTCTGATGTTTGGTTTATCTTAGATTTTTAATGCGTTTAACGTATATTGCAAATTTCTCTTGAGGACCTAGTAAAGATAATCGGATATAACGTGTTTCTATGATAAACTTAGATGTATTGTTGATAGTGTGGTCTAGAGAACTTACGGATACAGGTGAGTAATACATCACCGTTGGTAGATTTTAATATAAAACATGGCTGTCTTTTTTTATCAGTCCATAAACAGATAGAATAAACAGATTTCTAATTCTGAACAAATTTTGATAAAAAAAAGGAGTGGCTTCGATTTTTAATAAACATCCACAATTATTTTTTTTTCTTTGAACAATAGTGAACCGTGTCAGTTAAAGGAGCTAAATCGCTAATATTTTGGACCTAGAAATTGGCACAAATGGGTCGCAACACTTATAATAATGTAATATGAATTTATATAAACTGTTTTACATTCAATCGTGTTAGTTTTACTGTGAATTGTCATCAGTTATGTTCGGCGAAATACGCCAGAAGTCTTAACCGCAAGTCAGTTTCTAGCGTCTGGTTATTCCAGTCAACACCGATATTATTTATTGCGCATGCTCTCCAAATAAGAACATGATATCACCGTTTGACATGACTTGTGGAATATGTCTAGCCTCATTCATTGAGCACCTTGTTACAAATGGCGCTGAAACGCATTATGGTACACGATTCGTGTACCAATGGTAAAATGTTTATTTTGTCTTAAATATTGGATATCAGAAGTACATCTTTTCCAGGTAAGATCACAACACCAATGCTGATTTAAATTGCAAAAAGATTCATGTTTTCAATGTCGAAGATTTTGGATGATATTTAGTTACGGACTTAGCTACTTTAAAGAACATAATACATTGCGTGAGATTAAATGCAGCCTGGTAGTTTTAGCCTGCGTAAAACTTGAAACTTAATAATCCTCTCATTTACAGAACCGTGTAGATACTTTTGAAAGGGGCGTATAAAGACGGCGTTAGTAATGTTGATACATTGCCTGAAGTTGTGGATGAGCAGGGGCACGGAGCATATAATACATGGAGGTATTGTACAGTCAATTGTAACGCAATTATTAGGTAAGCAATAATTTCAATATTTTCTTTATTTCTAAACCAAAAGCGAATGTGTGATTACTGCTATACATAAATTCAAAGATTATTTATTAAGAACATAAAATATCCCATTATGTGACACGAGAAACAGACAGATTTGTGAAAACGAAATGGTAGTGTTTATCCATAGGAATTTCACGAATGAGGGTAAGTGATTGTATTAGAACACCCCATGCAATTTCTTTTCTGGAGTCCACATAATAACATATTTTGTACTTCTGTAATAATTTATTGTTGTCCCTTATTTTGAAAAATTGAAAACCCATACATGCTTGTTGATTACAACTTCTCGTGTTCCAGTAGCCAGGTCCGTACAGCAAATTAAAGGTCTTTGAAATACGTCTGCTGGCACGAAAAAATACTGCCCGGTGTTATACAATACAAAAGATAAAACTGTTTTATATTTTACAGGACCAGAGTCAAGACGCCGAATGATCTGTATGATGATCACCAAAGGAGTAGGAGAACACTGACAGGGTAGGCAATAATACCAAACATATTTTAGTTATTTCTTAAAGATACATTATGAGAGATTAGATAAAGAGCTGTCAGTTCTCACTATAATAGTTAAAAACTAGATAATGTAACGGGAATTTGTTGAAAATGTCAGTCAAATTTATCCACTCTGAACGGAGAAATTAGCGATTGAATTTTCGGCCTAACCTAGATCATCCTTATTAAAGTCAGAACGATAAAAAACAGTCTCGATTATCCATTTCATAATTAAATCATGAACGAGCAGCAAATCGGATGCTAATCCAGTAAATATCGCTGGATAGCGATGACATCGAGAGTTGATTATGGTCTAGATAAGTTAATTAATGTCTAATTAATAATTTAGATAACATTTAAGGCCTAAAGAAAGACCTGCACTAGACAGATTTAGCTCTTGCATAATGTATGTTTAATTATCCCTAAAACAAAAATTCACATTTCAACTCAACGTATTGTGACGTCTGAAACTTGGTTATTCGGATTGCTCAATAGCGGTTCTTAGATGAATTTACTCTGTTGGTTTACTTTGCACGAATCATAGCGATTATTAGGTGAATTTACTCTATTAGTTTACTTTGAACGAATTATAATTGAGTGGCAAGCTGATCGACTTTCTCGTCGCAAAACTATACAGCAGTAATAACGCAGAAAACCGCCCGTTTGTATTTTCGAAAACGTTTCAGATTTCAACCGTTGTATTCATTAACACATCTTGAGTTGTTTTTTTGTTAGTCATGTACATTAGTCATGTACATTCCAGGGCAAAATATTAATTATGTTGTGCAGATGAGCAAATTTTCGACCATGTCCGTTTTAAAACGATATTATTCATGTGAACTATTTCACTGAGATATGAATGGAATGGCAAACGGTCGTTTATGGTTCCAGGAATTTGACTGAGAAATGTGACTTTAAAAGGGAAATTCTAGATTGGCAATAACAGGTTTATGTATGTACTATATATTTTCTAAATTTTTTATGTGTCCGTCTAATAGGTACAGTAAAGTACATTCTGTTGACAAGGCTGGAACACATTTTAAAATAGGGGTTCTTGGTAACATTGACTTTTAGTTAGGCTTGAGGTGTAAAGCTACTTGAGGGATCGAGTCTACGTGTTATATCTAGACTAGAAAGAATAAAATGTCATAACTTCATCAACCGATCTGCTGAACAGACTGAAGAAGCTAATCTCTTTCAGGAGTAAAAACATATCGATGAGACGGAGAGTTTCTTCTCTAGTCCACACATAACATAAACAGCTTCTTCTCTAGCCCACACACATAAAACAAACAGCTTCTTCTCCAGTCCACACAAATAACATAAACAGCTTCTTCTCTAGCCCACACACATAATAAAACAGCTTCTTGTAGCTTCTAGCGAGACAGGTTCTTGGTGTTATTATCGGGAGATTAGAATTGGTTGTAATGGTTGTAGGCTGCAGACTTACCATTACTTCCTAGAACATGTACACAACTACTTTCAGTCCTATTTGGGACTTCCGTTCTTTGGGAATTGTGATCAACACACAGTTAGACAGACCAGAACTCAAGGTTTATGACATTGTTAATCTAACAGGATTGTGGCCGATTTACATCTGATATATACTAGAGTCTCACTTCTACTGGGTTTTCTGGTGTGCACACCCCATTCATTGGTCCTCGACGAGGCCAGTTATCATTGATGACTTGTGGTTGGCCACCCAGTTATCACTGATGACTGGTAGTTGGCAGCCCATATAAGGATATGGGCTTCTGGTACAGAACAGAAGAAGAGGGTATGGTGTTAGATTCATTAAAATTCGGTTTCCTTCTTTTCACTAGAACATAACATTTTGGGTTGTTTCGTCTTGTAGTTTAAACCGACCACCTCACTTAACGTCAATCAAATCACCTCTCTATCTCTATGTAAAGATGTGTCCAAGACCGGTTAGCAGGTGTTTCTTTACTGTAACATTTTGATGTGGGTTTTTTTTTGCAATTTGGATTTAACTATTTTTATATCTCTGTACATCGCTAACGCTCATCAATTTATCTAAATAATCTTGTTATTGCCAAAATAGTATTTTCTAAAGAAGTTGTAGGATCGATGTCTACAGTTATTATTGTTCATTTATATTACTCGTATATGCATGATTATTTATTTCACAATGTAAGGTCAATAGGGAGTGAACACTTCCAGTTGATCAGAGCACTTGGGTAAATCCTACCTCCCCCTTCCTAAATGGGAGTTAGGGTTGGGTAGCCGACTCTCGATACTGACCACTCATATCCACATCCTTGTTTTAAATAAGTATATAATATACCAGATACTAGAGATTGCCAGAAAAGCCGACACAGAACAGAACGTTTAAACATAAATTATGCAAGAGCTAAATCTGTCTATTGCATGTCTTTCTTTAGACCTGAAATGCTATATAAACTATTAGTTAGACATTAATTAACCTATCCAGACCATAATCAACTCTAGATGGCATCGCAAATGTTATATAAACTATTAGTTAGACATTAATTAACCTATCCAGAACATAATCAACTCTAGATGGCATCGCTAGCCTGCGATCTTAAGTGGATTATGAGCCGATTTACCGCATAACTTTCCTTCACGATTTAACGATTAAATGGATGATCGAGACTATGCTGTTTATCGTACTGAGTTTAGTAATGATGATCGAGGCTAGGCAAAAATTTCAATCGCTTAGTTCTCGGTTCATAGTGGATCAATTTGAATGAAATTTTTTAGCAAATTGCCTTTACATTATCTAGTTTTTAACTATTATAGTGAGAACTGCTAACTCGTTATCGGATCTCCCATAATGTATATTTAATGTTTTTTTCGGTATAAATATTCACATTTCAGGACTAACATATGATTCAATTTTAATTCAATAAATATCTTGCGCATAAGGGTCTTGAGCAGTGGGAGGACCTCGGGAAAACCCACGAGGTTGGACAGGCGAACCTACTCCTTGTCACGTACAAGCGGGGAATCAAAACCCACCACTTGACTCAATGACATACTTTATGATCCAACGTGCACGCGTTAACCATTCGAACACCCAACTCCCCCATAACTGGCTCTTAATATGATAATACCAGACACTAGAAATTGTCAAAAAAGCCAGCTAAAATCGATATAAATATTCATATGTTTATATTGTCAATTTTTGTCTTTGGATAACATAATCCAACCATTTATTAATATTGACATTGCATTTAAATCTATATTATTTGTGTTGAAACGTTTAATGCCATGTATTATTATAAATGTTTAGTTTGTTCTGTGTTGCTGCTGGCTTTCTTTCCCTTTTCAGGTAACTTTTATCAACAACAAGGAAAACTTTAATGTACTGCAGACTATATATGATTTGAAACGTTGAAGTGGTGAACTGTTTTAAAGGAGTTTTAAATACATGTATAAGGAAATAATCGTACGAACAGTTTGTAATATATGTAGCCTAAATAAGCTGCTGTTACAGCTATATGGTTTTTACTCCGAGAATTTCGCTTTTCCACATAAAGCAAGCAGATTCTTTTTCCCCATGGGGTTTTCATATCTGCAGTGATGACATTAAAGGGTCAATCAGTTGGACCATCTGTTTTATGTTTTTACCCATTTTCTGTTTTTATATATTATGCCTTTATATGTAAATAACTTAATTAAATCAACATGTCCAAAATATTATATTATAATGTATTGGACAAATTAATTACCGTACATGAGCAAACATTTCCACTTGATATTACAAGAGCTTGTTTTTGGTTTTCTTTTTATGCTTTTACCCATTTTCTTTTTTTTGTATATTACGCCTGTAATGTAAATAGCTCTTGAAATTAAATCAACCTATCCAAAATATAATGTATTATACAAATTAATTATTGTACATTATTTAGTTTTTATTATGTGCCTACATTAAACAATAATAAGATTGTACGCCCATATTTCATATCACAGAACAAAATTCTAAATTTTCCATTTTCCTAAACATGGAACATAATCCGTTATGGGAATTTGAAAGGGGTCAAAATTATTTCGAAATTTTCGACATAGCAACATGTGTTTGGGTGGGGGTGGGGGTGTAGATATATTATGCCCGTTCGTCCGTCATGCTACAGGTCCAAATTTTAAATTTTCCCTTTTCCCCAAACTTGGAAGGTACCAGTTTATGGTAGTTTGAATGGGGTCAAAATCATTTCGAAATTTTCGACATACAAACACGTGGGGTGATGGTGGGGTCGAGGATATTTTTTTATAATTTTTTTTCGCCCAACGACATTTTTTAAAAAAATTATTTTATCTATATCAACATATTATTGAATATTGTTTAATGTGGGCAACTGATAATTCATCAGTCGAAATAGATTATATTATTTCTTAATCAATTATAATTATTGTACATTATATTATTTAGTTTTTATTATGTGCCTACATTAAACAATAATAAAAGTTTTTTATACGCCGATATCACAGAACAAAATTCTAAATTTTCCATTTTTCTAAACATGGAACATAAACCGTTATGGGAATTTGAAAGGGGTCAAAATTATTTCGAAATTTTCGACATAGCAACATGTGATGGGGTGGGGGTGTAGATGTATTGTGCCCGTTCGTCCGTCATGCTACAGGTCCAAATTTTAAATTTTCCCCTTTTCCCTAAACTTGGAACGTACCAGTTTATGGTAATTTGAATAGGGTCAAAATCATTACGAAATTTTCGACATACAAACACGTGGGGTGATGGTGGGGTCGAGGATATTTTTTTTATAATATTTTTTCGCCCAACGACATTTATTTTTATTTTTTTTTTTATCTATATCTACATATTATTGAATATTGTTTAATGTGGGCCAACTGATAATTCATCAGTCGAAATAGATTATATCATTTCTTAATCAATTATATACTTATAGATAAGAGGTTTTGATTTATATTCGTATTTCCCATTGAATGTACTTTTTTTTGTCACTGTAATCAATGTGCGTCATGCTACAGGTCCAAATTTTAAATTTTCCCTGTACTTGGAACGTACCAGTTTATGGTTATTTGAATGGGGCAAAAATTA